CCCGTGGAGCAGAAATATACTCGCAGGCTGAAAACAATTTTAATTTTAAGATCAAAGAGAGTTGCAGGAAGGAGGGAGAGATGCGTCCAGGGGACTGCAGCGGAGAACAGCCGAGGAGAACAAGGCCGCGGTGTTAATTTTGGCCGTGTCTAAAAAACACTGGGAGTGTGAGGGCTCAAAGCTCCCCTGAACCTCAGGCAGGAGATCTGCAGGTCCGGGGGGTGCTGGTTCACCAGGTTCCCTGAAGAGCCCGTGCGGGAGCACAGTCACCCCAAAGCTGTGCCGGGAGTCGCCCGCACGTCTTACCTCCCTCTGCGGAGTCGAGGGACACTGCTTGCCTAGCAGAGCCGTGCCTCTTTTTTTTCCCCATAAATACAAGTATGTACCACGTTTCCCCAGGACGTGGGGTGCCTGCGTGAAGCTTCTTCCAGAGCAATTGTCGCATTTCTTCTTTTCTGTAAGAACAAAAATCCCTGGAGAACCGGGGCTTCGTTGCCTCTGCTTCCTTCCCAGGCAAGGCTCGCTGTAGAGAGATGCAGAAACACGTTAGAGAGAGAAGAAAACACGCAGGCAAACATTTCTGAACTTCATAGCGCAGCTTTGATCCTTGTTTCATCTCTGGGTCAAGCCTTCTTTTGGCAAAACCTGGCTTATCATTCATACATCTAAATCCCTGGCAAAGAAAACCCCCCATGTCATGAGACGTTGAAAACTCTGTTCACCAGAGAGCTAAAAATAATCTCCTCTGGGGAGCAATCCTGCTCTGCCCCAGAGGGAAATGGAAAGATGAGTTAATAGGTCTTTTCCATCTCTGGTTCCTGTAATTCTGCAAAAAAACAAGGCTGAGTCTGCTATTTACTTTTCTGGATATGCAAAATTCGTCTCTGCAGGTCTCCCTCCCAGTCTTCCCGAACAGAAATGCTGACTGCCTTGCTGCAGTCCAGCTTTGCAAGCGCCTCTGCTTTCTCCTTTTTTTTTTTTTTTTTTTTTTTCAAATCTTCCTCTGCTACAGTTTTTTCCCTTTCTCCCTCCTCTCCTTTGAATGAATGCTCAGACAAACACTGGCTGTTTCCAAGGGATTGCCTCGATTTGCCAACTTTTCTTCCCAGGAAGAATCCTCTGTGTCTCTGTGTGCTGAGGGAGATAATAAATCAGGTGAGCACCGTCCCCGGGCCAGCACAGCCAACAGCTCTCGGTGACTCCTCCGACAGAAGGGAAAGAGCCTGGGGGGGTTATTTTGCAGCTGTGTGGACTTGAGCTGGCAGATGGGTTTCTATTTCTTTTTTTTTAAAAAAAAAAAAAAAAAAAAAAAAAAACCCAAAAACCAACAACAAAACCAACCAATGTCAAGTGCAGTTACAAGCATGTCTCCATCACCGCTGGCTCGGTGAGAGATGAAGGTTTTTCCCTCGGAGCCGCGGCCACCAGCTTGGCCAGGGCTCCCCTGCGGGGAACACCGGTCCCAAACTGGGGCTGGGCTGGGGACCAGTGGGAGAAGCATCGGAGCCACTGGGCGGGCAGAGGGGAGGGCAGAGCACCTCGCTGGGGTGTTTGTGGAGCTCTGGACCTCGCCGGCCACATCCTGCTGTGTCCAGGCCACGCATGAGAGTGATCAGGGCAGCCGGGACCAGCCAGGTCGTCACCAACCCTCAGCCAGCCGGCCACCTGCGCCAGCCTCGTGCATCTGCAGCGTTTCCCGGCGTCCTTCAGCTCCATTCCCCTCCAAATTCCTGCTCGTTCTTTTTCTGCATTTTTAATTTTTTTTTTTTTTTATTTTCCCTAAAGGCCGTTGTGATTTTGCTGCCTGCACAAACCCCGAATCCGCCCCCCGTGACCCCTGCGGAGCCGGGACCGGTGCTCCCCGCTCGGGGTGGCACGGGTGGGTGGCTCGGCCAGTGCCCCCACCGCTGTTTTGCCTCAGCCCCCCTCCAGCACGGCCACTGGATCGCAGTCTGGCAGCAGATGCTCAACGCCCTGCGGTTCCATGCCCTTCCAGTTGACAATTCCAGCCGCGATAGCCCGGTGGCCCGGCGGGTTGCCCAGAACTCCGTGACAGTCCCCAGCAGCTCAACCTTGGGGTGATTTGGGGCCGCTGTCCCCTCCACACCCACCCTGCAGCCTTTTCCAGCATCTCCCTCGCCTCCTTTCCCCACCTCGCCTGCTCCGTGATGCGATTTACCGCCGCCGCGTTCCCGCTCCTGGCTGGGACATGCCGCAGCATCGGGGCCCGCTGCCGTGCCCCGTGCAGCAGCATCCTGAATCCCCGTGACCCCCCGGTGCCACCTCCTCGAGGTTTTTTTCGTGGTGGGGGTGGGTGAGGACGGCTGTGATGCTGGCGGTTGTTCAGCCCTGCCCATAGATAATGAGAAACGCCACCGTTATCCAGTGTTCAATGAATCAACGGGAAAGAAAAGAAAGCTGGGTTGCCCTGAAGGAACATATCACAGATATTAAAAGGGTATCAAAGGAGTTCTGCAGCTCTTTAAAGGGTGCTTTAAAATATGGAACCAAGCCCAGAGCTGGGAAAAATGAGGCTCCTGTCTGGTGTGTGACCATACAAGAGCAGCCGTGAGACACCCAGTGGGGCAGCTGTGGGTTAACTGGGGCTGCTGGTGGCAAACTGCTCACCTCCAGCCAGCAAAGGGCATGCAGGGCTTTGTTTTTGTCTGAAAGCCTCTTGGAGCCTGGCTGTAAGTACCTTTGAGTTTGCAGGCGAGGAAACACGCCCAAGCCCCAAGCCCACCCTACACTACAATCCAATTATCCATCCAAGAGCAGAAAATCACAGATGGTTTTGCATGGATTTTCTGAAGCAGTGATACTCCAAATGCTGTTATCTGGGGAACCGTAACAAAATGTACACGGGCACTTGTAACTGCAGCATCTGGAAGGAACAGATAAAAATCTACTTATGTGCACAGGCAAAATTTCCAAGAGCAGGAGTGCTTCTGCAATTCCTCGCCTGAATAGGAAGCAGAGCGAGCACCGGCCGAGTCAAGGACTGTGAGCCACTGGGAGTCAGCCTTATCCACCGCATCCCGGCGTCTGCTGAAAGCCAGAGCAAAAAAAAAAAAAAAAAAAAAAAAAAAGACAACCAACCTTCCAGCCCCTGGGATTGAAACGCTGCACAAATTCAAACCCCGTGTGCCGACGTGGGGCAGGAGTGATTTGCAGCTTCAGCTGCTGAAGGGGAGTTTGGGAACAGCTGTAGAGCATCGGAGGGGATGTAATCACGAAGGATGCTGGAGGGATGGAGGGAGGGAGGCAGAAAGCAAGCGAGGCACTGGTAGAAAGCTTTGTACTCTAGATTCCTCTGGCAAGCATAATGGAAGGGGGACCAGGCTTAAAGGGAGCAGAACAAAGGATAAAAGTAATGTAAAGGCTTGGCAGAAAGGGGGGGACTTCTGAAGGCTGCAATATTGAAGGGGTTTTTAAAGGAAGCATTTGAAAAGAAAGCTGCCTGCACTTCAAAATCCGACATAGCGTTCTGCTGCTCGCGTGCTTCAGCTCGAGAAGGACCAGCAGCAGACAGAGGGGAACAAAGAGAATTTTTAATAAGAAATCAGAAATATGGCCCGAGCGCACGGGGCACTCGAGTGGTGTGATGTCTGGCTTGAACGCGCGTCTCCCCTCCCGATAGCTGGCGGAGTCACATGAACTCATTACAAAACTTCCAGGGGGATAAAAAATGTCTTAGAACACATTAGCATCAGGCTAAACTGGTGCACTGGCATACTGCCCGCGGAACCATTCATCTCAGATATAAATAGCATAATTAACCTACACAGTATATACATTGCGTACCACTAGGATGACTTTTTCTTGGAAAACAAATAAATCTTTAAAGTTTGAACCCTATTTACAGAATTGCTGCTCCATAAATCATTCAGATCATCAAGGCTACTTTATTAACGCCTTTCTGGCTGCATGCTTGCAAGGAAAAGGCAGAGAGCTGTAAATAGTTTGGCTTTATAAATATTCCCCATCACACAGCAACTGTCTTTCAGCAGGTAATGAAACATATGACATGCTCCTAATCTATGACCGAGGGCTATTTCATGGTACTTTCCTCCCAGTACGTAGTTCCAGTCATTTTCTGCTCTCACACTGGAAAAGAGACTTGAACGCACCCTCAGCAAGTTCATTGATGACACTGAGCTGTGCGGGGACACGCTGAGGGCAGGGATGGCATCCCGAGGGACCGGGACAGGCTGGAGAGGGGGGGGTCAACAAGGGCAAGGGCAAGGGCAAGGGCCTGCCCGGGGGTCGGGGCAATCCCCAGCACAAACCCCGGCTGGGCGAGGGGCGGCTGGAGAGCAGCCCCGAGGAGAGGGGCTGGGGGGGATGAGTGGCTGGAAAAGTGCCCGTGAGCCCAGAACCCCCCCGTGCCCTGGGCTGCAGCCAGAGCAGGGGGGGCAGCGGGGCCAGGGGGGGGATTGTCCCCCTCTGCTCGGCTCTGGGGAGACCCCCCTGCAGTGCTGGGGCCAGCTCGGGGGCCCCCAACAGCAGAAGGACCCGGAGCTGCTCGAGCGGGGCCAGAGGAGGCCACGGAGATGCTGGGGGGGCTGGAGCAGCTCCCCTGGGGGGCCAGGCTGAGAGAGTTGGGGGGGTTCAGCCTGGAGAAGAGAAGGGAGACTTTGTTGTGGTCTTTCCATATATAGGGGGCTTATAAGATGGAGAAAGACTTATGATCGAGGTCTATAGGACAAGGGACAATAGTTTTGAACTGAGAGAGTGTAGGTTTAGATAAGCTATAAGGGAGATGAGGATGGTGAGGCGCTGGCCCCGGGTGCCCAGAGCAGCTGTGGGTGCCCCCTCCCTGGAAGGGTTCAAGGCCAGGTTGGACGGGGCTGGGAGCCCCCTGGGCTGGGGGAAGGGGGCCCTGCCCGGGGCGGGGGGTGCCACTGGGGGGGGATTTGAGGTCCCTTCCCACCCCAAACCATCCTGTGATTCTGTGATACCTGTAATGTGCATGGGAAGGGAGAACCGGGTCTGCCTGATTTGCAGCCAAGACTAATGTCATTTATTTAAGAGAGCGCGGTTTAATGCACGGCGAGGTTAAGCTCTCGCTTGAGCGCTGAGGACTAAGAGCTGCAGCAGGGTGAGGGGCTGCTGTCAGGAGGGCCAAGCTCCCCCCCCATCGCAGGGGGGTGTGATCGTGCCCCGGGCTGGCGGGGTCCTGGTGCTGATGGAGCCCCAAACGCAGCCACGCTGAGCCTGTGCAGCCCTTGGGAGCAGAGCATCAGTGTCCACCTGCAACCTCCAGCTAATCCTTCAAGGGAAAACTCAGATTTGCACTCCAGCTGCGGGAAACAGCCTCCAAACCCTCCGTGGCACCTCTCCATGGCTTGGATTAAACATCGGCAAGCTGTGGACTGGTGTGGGGAGGAAGGCACGGGCAGCAGAGCGGGCACCGCTGGTTCTGCTGGGCTGGGCTGGGGAAACCTTCTCTGGCTGACTGGGAGAGCAGCTCATCGCTGTAGGGATGGGTGAGCACACGTGTTTGCACCTCTTCCCCCTCCCTCGGCATTTAGCCCCGGTGCAGTGACCCCCGTTAGGTATTTCTGCACGAGTTCTGCAAGGAAGCAGCTCTGAGGGAGGCGGCTCCGAGGCTCGGCGTGCAAGCAGACCAAGCTGGCGTCCGTCAGAAAAAAACGGCAAAAATGTGCTCGCAGCCGGTGGTTTTCCTTAACGCAAACACAGTCTTGCCACAAATGCACAGTTGCCTTGTTTTCAAAGCTATTTGCAAAACATCAAGGGAGTTAATCCTCACCTCTCCCTCGCCCTCCTCCAGGCTGTTGGGGCGGCGTGCGGGGTAGGCAGAGGAAAGCAGCGGCGGCCGCTTGTCACCGAGCGACTCGGCGATGCAGCCGTTGGGCCCCAGCTCTCTGCTCTCCCACGCCGCTGGATGAGCTCCTCAAGAACCTCTTCTTGCCCACCAAGAGCGGCTGAGCGTGGCGAGAGCAGCCCTCCCTCCCTGCCAGGCCGTCCTTTTCCAGCGGGGTTTCGACGGCAGCTCCAAAACCTCCTGCGCCCCCTCTCCTGCTCCTCCTGTGGGCAGCTGCCCCGTTCCTCCCAGGATCAGGCCATAGGTGAGGGTCACCTTTATTATTAATGCCTCTGAGCATCACCTAAACAGGCCTATTGAATTCCCGAGAGGTTACTTAGCTCCTGTCAGGGGGAAAAAAATACAAGTTTAGCCATTTATGCCTGGTTGTTAGCTCAGTAGGTCCCCGGCACCAGGGAGCCCGCGGCGAGGCTGCCTCTGCTTTACAGCTCCCCGTGCACAGCCTCCTCCTTTTATTTTTAGTTGATGGGATTTAGCATAAAATAGTGCTGACCTAGCAGTAATCTAAAAAATTTGCAATCGACAGCTAGATCATCGTGTGCCATATTTTTGACTTGCAAATAGCTTCCACAGATAGCGAGGGTGTATTTATTAAACACAGCTAGTGTTGCATCTTTATTTAGCTCCTTCTGTTACCACACTGTATAATTCATGAAATTGCCTTATAAAGTTAGGCAGGAATTAAAACGTTGACCAGCCCGTGAACCGGAGTCGACACTTCTATTATTTTAAAAGGAAAGCTGAGAGAAACTAAAACCTGACAAATAACCCTGTGCCGGGGGAGAGGGGTCGAGCAGCCGAGCTCACCTCTGGCTGAGCAGGCAGCGGGGAAATCGGAGTCAGCTCGGAGCATCCGTCGTGCCCAGGGGAAGGATTTCCACCCCAGCTGATGGGAAGCCTTCCCGAGTGCTCCTCGGGGTGCCGGATGGCATGTGGCTCCTCCTACCAAAACCAGGCGGTCACGAGGGCGAGGAAGCACCAGCGGGGAGGATGAGGATGTTATTTTGGAAAGCAAATGCCGCTCGCCGCCATCAGCTGCGTTTCAGAGCAGAGCCTGTCTTCAGGGGACCTCGGCCCCGCGGCAGCATCCTCGGTCTGAGGAAGGAAACGCTCGGCTTCCCAGCTCAGCGCCTGAGCCTCGCTCCGCAGGAGGGAAATCACACGCCATCCTCTTCTGAATACAGCGTTTTACAACACCATGCTCTCTAATAAAATGTTCCCCTCAAGTCCATCTCCACGATAAAAACCGTTTCTTTCCTCACCTCGGAGGCCGTGTACGCCTTGACTCATAAATATTTCATCAGTACCTGGAGAGTTTCCAGCGGAGAACGATGCGATTTGGGGCTCGGGGCTGCCTGGGCATCACATGGGCATGGGCGGGGGGGCGGCGCGGCGGCTGCTGGCGGGGGGTACGCTGCCTGCAGTGGGGTGCAAGGCTGCAGTGGGGTGCACATCCCAGCCATCCTTGCAGGATGGGGCCCACAGAGCCTCGAGCCTCTCCATCTAACCCTTTGGCTGGTCCTCACCCCGATACCGGTCCCCGACAGCACTGATGTCCTGGAAGAGAAGAAAAAAAAAACGGTCAGAAAATAGTGGCTTGTGGCCATGAATAATCACGTGCACTGGGAGGTGTTTTCATACCAAAGAGGGAAGAAAGGCAAAAATCGGAACTTTTTAAGGAAAAAAGCTAAAACATTTTCTCTTGTTGACGCCTGGAAAACAAAAGCCTTAACCGCAACGCCCGGCTGTGCAAAGGGTGCAAAGCTGGGTGCTGCTCCCCTCTGTGAGGGGAAGCCGTGAGCGTTCCACCCCCCCCCAAGCAGCCAGCCCCTAGTTCCAGGCTTTTGGGGTGAACCTGCCTCTTCTCCACCCCCAAAGCCTTCCCTTCGGAAAATGTCATCCTGGGAGAGGCACTGCCCTGCCACAGGCAGGCGAAAACCAGATTTCACCAGAAGCGTCTCGGCCAGTCTGTGCCCTGCGCCTTTAAAAGAAATAAAACAAACAGACATCAAACCAAAATTAAATCCTAACACTGGCACACAACTTGACATGAAAACCTAAATTCAAAACACGCCCGTCTTTGGAAAAAAATTCTTCTCTTATAGGAAACCTCAGGCGATGAGTCTTCCAGCCAGCCCTGTCTTGGGGGGCTGCCTGGTGGGTCCCGTCCTTTCCCCGCTGAGACCCTGCAGTGAGCAAAGGGCGACTGACTTCACAGGTGTTATTTTCGAGATGGAAAATAGCAGTAACTAGTCAGGGAATGGCAAAAACTGGGTGCAAGGGGTTGCAGAATGCTGGGCGGGCTGTGCTGGCTGAAAGTTCAGGCCCCAGAGCCGTGGCACATGGGGCTGAGCTGCTGCAGAGCTCGGCGGGCTGAGCCTCCCAGGCCAACACCCCCACGGAAAAAGCCAAATTCGTCTTCATTTGCAAAATGCTTCTTTTCTCCTTCTCCTGCAACTGTCGTCTCCAAAATCTGGGGAAGGGACCCGAGCGGCTGGTGCTGAGGTGAGCTCCGCACCACCCCATCTTTCTCCTCGAGGAAAAATATCCTCGTTATTAAAGCAGGGAGGGAAGATCCTCAGCCTGCCAGGGGCAAATCTATTAAGTGGTGTGGGCTCAGTAATTCTCAGTAAGCAGCGTACTCAGTGCTACCTCCGTCCCCACGTGGAAAGGCTGCCAGCGGACGAGTGTTTCTCCTATTTATCAGTTGCTCAGAACTGTTGCCTCTCTCATTTTGGGGGAAGACCCTTGGCGCTTTGACTCGTTTGCAAACAGCTCCCCGGGAGCATTAAGCGGGTTTAATTCGAGCGGTGTTTGCTCAGCTTGGATGGGCCGCGCCGGTCTCCGGGATCTCTACAACCCCCCCGATTAAGTGCACGTAACACTTCGTGCCTGCGAAGCCTCCAGTTTGCATGTTTGCGTTTTCCATGATGGTTTTCTGACATTTGCTTAAAATTTATATTGATTTCCCAAGCAGGTTTTTTTTTGGGTTTTTTTGTTTTTTTTTTTTTTTTTTCCAGCAGCCTGGGTCACAAGCAAAACCTTGAGTGACCGTGCCCGGGGCCGGCTGGTGCAGCGTGTGGCCGCAGGGACACGACTGGTGCTTGCCGTGGAGCCCAGTAGCCCCCCTTGCCCCCCCACTTTGCTGCTCTACGCAGCACTTCCATGGCAGGATTGGATGCTGCGGGTAAAGCAGCAAGTCCTGCATTTATTTCCATACAGCCTCCAAGTTTTTTCCTAAGGATATGTGTATTGGCAAGCTCTCAGAAAGGATTCACCTGGAAAGCCGGGGCATGGGCTTTGTTATAAACTTCTTTCTAGCGTTAATATCTCAGGGAAGGGGGGGAAAAAAAAATAAAAAAAAAAAAAAAAAAAAAAAAACCAACCAAAAAACGCTGCCACTCACGCATCCGTTCATCTTGGCAGAGGTGATCCCTCAGCATCAAGAGCAGATCCAGGCTCTGGCACACACCAAGCAGGGGAGGCTGTAAATAAACGATCCCCAAATGCCCCCGCCGAGGGAAAGGAGCACCGGGGGTGTTAACATCCCACCCCGTGTTACCGCTGCCCGTGCTCCTTTCTGCTCAGCTATTCATGGCACTCCATGCCTGTAATAACTGGTGTTTTGGCAGCTGACGCCGTGTAATCGAACCAGGGCTGTCAGGGAAATTTGTAGCTATTTGCTTCACAGGGTTTCTTCATTCCACTCAGCAGCTGTCAGCCTGCGCCGCCTGGTTATTGATGATAGGCGCTAATCATGCAACAGATTCCCCACATAAATCAAGAGGCAGTAGAAAATAAAGTTTCTTCACACTGAGGTCATTTGCCCCCCTCCCAAGTGCCACAGAGAAGAAAAATACAAACTCTTACTCCTGCTATTAATAACCTCCCTCCCGCCGGCCCCCGGCAAAGGGAGATGGTGTCAAATTTTAAATTACAGCTTTTGTTACATCAACTGAATTGCGTGTTTATAAAACTAATTACTGGGTAAGTTCTGCATGTTACGGGCTTGATTTGTGGACTGTCACATGTTTGCAGAAGGGATCCTGTAAAAGGCTTTTCTCTTTTTTTTTTTTTTTGCCCCCCCTCCCTTAGCACACAGCAGAGGTCAAGCAACGGATCGTGCATATTGCAAGTGACAGCTTCAAGTACCTCAAGGGTGCTAATCCACCATGAAACTTTTTTTCCATCATATCTTTATTGCGCTGGAAATGGAAGGCACTTCTCTCTCCTCGCGGCTGTCACTCCGCCCAAGTGTAAACCGGATAAATTTAGCCCTGGTTCAATGTCAGATGGCACAAACCCAACCTCGGAGCTGCAGCTTGCCGGGACGGCTTTCTTGCTGGCGGCCCCGGGGCCGGTGTCACCCAGGGGACTGGTGTGATGACAAGGGGTGGCTGTTGGTCCTCCAGCAAGCGGTAGCCACCGCCACACCGGGCTGGACACGGGGCTCTCACCCCCCATGTTCCTACACTCAGCTCCCATCAGACCCAAAGGACCCGGGGGAAAAAAGCGGGTTTTTTTTCCTCTTATTCTAACCCCATAAGACACACTGCAGCGGTCCCCAGCGGGGAGTAAAGCCCTGTGCCCAGCATCCATCCCTCCATCAGAGCAGCTCCCACGGCACGATTAAGTTTGTCCCATAACCCAGGTCCCATTTTGGGGCTGAAGCTTTAGACTTCAGGATTCACCTCCCTCCTCCCGCATGTCCCCCTGGTCGTTATCTCCGCGGCGGGGTCGCAGCCCCTCCGCTGGCTCTGAGCACGCGGTGCGGGCGGCGATGGCTAAATTAGCCCTTTGCTAGCTGCCGTGGCCACAGCCCCGGGCCTGAAGTAGCCACACTCGGCTGACGGGGGAGAACAGCCCCTCTGATGGATACTGTCCTTGGAAGGAGAATACAACTTTACCCCAGGGAAGGAGAACAGGAGCGTGCGTTATCGGGAACGTCGGCACCGGCTTCGCTCACCCAAAACCTCCTGTAAACGGCCTTACCTGCACCTCCTCCCCCGGGGAAACACATCTCCTGCCCGTGCCCGGAGCGAATGGGTGGCACTCGAGACGTGTCACTGGACAGCAAGAAAACAGGTAATCCTTTCATTATTATTTTTTGAATCTACAGTTCCCAAATCACAAGCCCAACTCCTGCTAATGAGCCTCGAGAATGGCGCGTTCGTTACAAAAATGGTTAATTTGCTCAGCAGCGTGTCTCATACAAAAGAGGAGCCAGCCTTTGAAGGCAGAGCTTTTATCCTTTTCAAACACATCCTCAAGTTATCAACTTCAACACAACATCAAGGCCTGCTTTTGTTGGAATAATTTAACACTAATAGTTCGCGAATGCTGCCACCGCTCTTGGTGCGGAGCTGTCACTGGCTGCAGCAAGACATTTGGTTCAAAGGCAGTGCCAGCACTGAGTCAACTTGGATTTTTTTTTAAAAAAAAAAAAAAAAAAAACAAAACTTTTTTTCCCCCTTTCTGAGCGGCAGTTTGGAGCTCTGGTTGTCTGGTTTGGCAGCATTGGTCTTGTCCGTACCCGCGGTGGGCGTGTGGCCGGAGGGCGATGCTGCAGCAGCCTCCCCGGAGCTGGCAGGGTGTCCCACCAGCTCACCATTCCGGGTGGAGAAGCGACAATTTTACGAGCATGAGTATTGAACTGCTGTAGTGAAAAGGCCTTTCATGCCCTCGCTCAAGAAACCTGCAAGGAAGGTGAAAGCTCAGGGCAGCGCGGGCCGTGGGGAGCCGGCGGGGCAAGTCTTGTCCCCCCCCAGCTCCCCAGAGCTGAGGCAGGCGACTCCAGCAAAGCCACTGAGGCAGAGTGGATGCGAACTGGGCTGTCCCAGCTGGGGCACACGAGCACCCCCCACCCCTCCAGCCCCTCCCGGGGTGCCCACCGAGGCCGTGCCGGGCAGCTGCGTGTCCCCGGGGTGCCAGCCCCCCTGCGATGCCACAGGTGCACACAGACCCCCTCCGGCAGAAGCAAGAGGCAACCGGCGCAACAAGCACGAGCCCTGGCTGCAGCCACCTTCCAGGTAACACCAGTTGCAGCGGTGGAGCGTCCCGTCACGGGAAAAGGTGCTGGACTAATGAGCCACGCAGCCAGACACAGCACCTAAAGTGGAGGGAAAGCGGAAAAATCCGCGTTGGCAACCATTGATCCCTGCCTGTGGGTTTCCTGCATATTCTGAATTTTAACACGTCCCCAAGAGCAGCGGCTCCGGGGACCTCCTGGGGAAATTCTCCCAGCTGGGCAGGACCTCTCTCAGCCAGCTCTCAGACTCAGTTTACCTTTTTTTGATGCTGGAGAGCTGGGACTCAAACTGATGGGCAAGGCAGGCTGTCCTCGGGCGTGTGAGTGCCTCCCCGTGCCACACCAGCCGCCGTCGCCCAGCCTTGCCTCCCACCTCTCCCCGCCAAGCGCGGTGACATCGGCGGGTCAGTGAGGAAATCGCCAAGATCAAGGAAAATAAAACTGGTATTTCAGAGCGCATCCCGCTCGAGGGATGCTCTGTCGAGGATCTCCATCCACTGCAGGAGCGGGGAGGGG